GGGTTGAAGGAAAAAGACAACGGTCGATCATAGGGACAGAGAAGCATCGAGGGGAAGAGAGCTTGCCATCAATGATGTCGCCCAGGAAAAAATGAAACACTCAATTAAGGCAAGACGTCTCAGACCCAGGCATCTCTGTCCCCAGAAATGGTCCAAAAAACTTCGTAGATACCCACGTAGATAACCACGCCTCCTATCTGCCCTCACCCACGCCGATCCTCTCATTGTGGTAATTAATGGCCACAGCCACTTGATTTGATGTAGTATGTAGTGGCCATCTTAAGGGACATCTCATCTTCGCAGGACAGCCGACGCGCCGCAGCAACAGATCACCATACAACACCTGCACCAAAGGAAGGCAATGAAGGCTGAGGCGAGCCGGTTGTGTCTTATCCGTTTTACCCGAGTATGCTGAGGAACGAGGGTGCGTCGTGCAGGAACCACCACTGAACAAGAGACAACAGCCCACAGAAACCAATGAGGCTTGAGGGAATATCGTATGTGTGACATGAGCCACAGCACAGCAAGCATACCCACGACCAACGAATGCATCTCATGGAAGAGAATGAGAGTGTAGAGTGCAGTGGGAGGATGAAGATCTGTCTGGAGATGGTAGGTAACACGTCACGACATAGACGAAGGGCCGCTGGCTGCACTGTCTAGTGAGTGTCTAGTGTACTGACTGTAGCTCCGCGCTGCGCCAGGCCCGTCTTGTCGGCCGCTCCTCGATTGGTGCTGCAAGACTTCACAGGGCGCCCGCAACACAGCCAACCAGACCGATGAGACAACAATTTGGTGACCCACCCCGTTCCCGTCTGCCTGACTCTGTCTGTCTGTCTGCCTCTCTGTTGCGGCAGGATACGCAGACAAGATAAAGCAGATAGATTAGGTCTACTTTCGTTCCTGTGTCGGTGCCTCAGAGCACTCACTGCAGCAACGGCAGACAAAGGGACAAAACACAGGCCCATGCCCCTCCCCCCCCCGCCCAGCAAGTACTCTCTCTTTACCCTGCTCCCCATGTGTCAGTGTGTATCTGTTGACCCACCTGTAAAAGAACTGAGATGGGAATGTCCAGGGTCCTCGTGATGGACGCCAGACAGGCCTTGACGTGCTGCGTGCCCATGTTTAGCAACATCTGGCCGAACGTGGCGAATGCGCCCAGCATGAGCAGGTCACACCAGTTGGTCACTGTGAATGATGAGGGCGAGATGGGCGCCTGGCTCGGCACCGTCAGCATGAACAGGGGTGAGATGAAGAGCCCACTGAGGGCGAATGAATTCACCAGCTGCATGTAATGCGCCTTCCTCCCAATCCTAGGTAGGACATAAGTGAGTGAGTGAGTGAGTGAATGAGTATGAGTGAGCGTCCATGAGCATATGTGAAGCTGACTGACTTGCGGATGATGCAGTAAGTCAGGCCTGAATGAAACACACACCACACGCATACACTCCGCCTGTCCACTGCGGTAGGTCCTTCCCACTCACCTTGGCACAGTGCGCCGAGGAGGCACAGGGAGATGCCGCACACCTCAGCTGTTGATATAGTGCGGAAATTCTCACTACCTGAGCAAGGTAGTGAACATCAATTACAGCCACATCCATCCATCCATCCATCCATCCAAGGGGCGTGGGGTGGCTCAACTACCGAGTGACGTCATGGCCACCCCAATAACGCACCCAAGCCCGCACGCCGCCTCAATGATGCCATAGCTCTCCTTCAACATCGATCGGGCAATGAGGCCAGCGAATAGTGGTGCCGTGAAGTACAAAACAGTCGCATAGCCCAACTGCAGCTGGCTCAGCCCATAGTAATACATGAGCACTCCTAGAAAGTCCACCACACCTGCAAGTTAAGCCCCACACACGGGTTGTCTGTTGCGTTGCGTATCTCCTTCCTCCCTCCCTCCCTCACCTCTGGCGAGCACCCACCACCTGACCCTGAAGGTCCCCCTGCTCTGGCTTGGCAGTATCCCCAGCCGCAGATAAAACAGACAAGCCAGAGTCACGAAGAACTGAAATATGCACCTGACAGGGATAAGATCAACACATATACACCCGCAGGGGCAGCCCCGAAATGTGCAGTGCAGCGTTTCTCAGACCCGTGCCCACCTGATGAACATAGTCTCTCCTGCGCTGATGCCGTGGTCAGCGGTGAGCTTGACGCACAGCGACATGGATGCGAAGCATACAGTGGAGCCAATGCACAGCAAAACACCCTGAACGAAGCACCGGGGGCGGCCGGAGGGCAGGGGGTGATCAGCAGGGTTGACCAGCAGGGATGAACTGGCGGCCTCAGGAACGTCAGTCAGCAGGAGCGAGTCCAAGCTGTGAACAGAAACACACACAAGAGAGGTATGTAGCCGGGCATTTCTCATTCACTTCTTCTCCCTCGTTCCTCCCTCATAGCTCGCTCTGCTCACGCGTGTCCAGTGGAGGTGTGTTGAGGTAGAGCTTTCGCCCCCTTGACGTCCTCGGCGACGGGATACGCCGGGCCGTCCTCGAGCGACACGTACACATCGTCGCGCAAAGCACGGGCTGATACTGGCATGATACTGCGTGCCTGACGACGCCTCCCCAAGAAAGAGCGGAAAGAGCGGTTTCTCTTCTCGTCCGCTCGTGCGAGCTTTCCCGGCGAGCCCAAGAAGAGAAAAGAGGGAAGAGAGGACGCCTGCCCCCCCTCCGTCCACTCAAGTCAGTCAAGAGCAGAGCAGTGTGTGTGAGTGGTTGTGCCCGCCTCGGACTCGGCTGCTCATTTCGCCATGCCGAACGTGCATCGTTTGACTGATTACCAGCAGCAGCGCAATGAAGGCACGCCGTTGCCCACGGTGGCGGCGTCAGGCGGCTCGGGAGATATCAGGTGAATCAACGACAAACAGGCGATGGACGGCTGATGGTGGTTGATGTGTGTCATTGTGGTGCGTCCGTCGTGTTGGTTGTGCATTGCATGTGTGTGTGGCAGGTTTGTGGACATGTTTTTTCCCGGTTGCACGTGGCAGCTCCACATAGTGTGGCTGAGCATGATCCAGATGGTCGTCTACTTCCTATCTCTCATCCCGGGGCAGGAAAGAGCCGCGCCCACACGGTCAGTCACAACACACACATACAGGCAGACACTTGGCGGATGACAGACAGACAGACAGACAGACAGATGTGTTGTCATGTGTGACTGTTTGTCTGTGTGGGGGCGGCTGGGTGTGGTGTGTGTCGCGCGTGGCGGCCTGCAGGCATTCGCTTTTGCTATTCGGGTGTTCCTATGGTCCCAATCTGCAGAGGGGCGAGGTGTGGCGCCTTTTCATGCCCATATTCCTGCACGCCAACCTCAGCCACCTGCTGGTCAGGCAGGCAGGCAGACAGCACAAAGATAGACACCAAACACTTGAACAAACAGGCGGCAGGGAGGGAGGGAGGATAGGATGCACACATACACTCCTCTTCTCTCCCTGCCTGCCTGTGTGGGTGTGGGTGGTGTTGATTGCGTCAGATGAACGTCTTCGTCCAGATCGCTATGGGGATGCAGGTCGAACAAAAGTGAGCAAGCAACACAAGCACAATTCAAGGCGTCTTCGCCACGGTGGTTTGGCCCCCTCAGTCGTTGGTGTTTTGCGTGTGGTTGTGGTTGTGCGTGTTGTAGGTACGGGATAGGTCGTTTCCATCTGATATACTTCGGGAGTGGCATCCTGGCCAACCTCTTCTCCACCGCCGTGCATCCCTGCAACGTAAGCCCCGCAACCCCTGCAGCCACATACACACGCAGGCAGGCAGCACCAACCACTCATATGTGTGCGTGCTGCGTGCATGTACGTATGTACGTATGTATTTGTGTTTGTAGACTGCCGTGGGCGCGTCGACATCTGGGTTCGGCATCATCGGGGCGCAGGTGGGCAGCAGTTCGTCCGTCCCACGGTGCTCATCCATTCATCCATCCATCCATTGGCCCATGTGTCTGCGTGAGTGTGCTTGTGTTCAGATAGCAGAGGTGGTGCTGATATGGCACCTGCTGTCCGGCATGAGCCGCTCAAGAGCCATCTACCAACTCATGTACGACTGGCGCCTCAAGGGGTGGAGGGATGGATGTGGGCATGGGCAACGTCCACATGAATGGCGCCCATTCACTCATCCGGTGCCGCTGTGTGTGGTGTGGTGTGGTGTGGTGTGGTGCAGATTCTTCGCCGTCTATCTGGTGTTTTTTATGTTATTTGTGACCTCCCAGGGAACAAATCTCGGTGAGTGAGTGAGTGAGTGAGTGAGAGGCGTACGTGTGCCGACACGTGAGGCACGATCTTGTATGTGCCTGTGTGGGTGGGGTGCGGCAGATCACTTTGGCCACCTGGGGGGCGCACTTGGTACGCTCTACACCACACCACACCATTCCACATCGCAGCAAGGCGACAGAGACATGGACGCTGCTAGTCGAGTGCTGTCCACGAGATAGATGAATGCCTCCTCTGTCTCTTTCGGCTGGGCCATGTCTGTCTGTCTGGTCTGTCTGTCATTGTGCAGCTGGTTTCTTTCTGCTTTTCCTCATCTACGCCGACCAGGAGAACAAACCATCGTAAGGAGGAAAGAGGCAGGCAGTGAGGGAGGGAGGACGCGTGTACGTAGCTAGCTATGTATGTGTACTGATTGATTGCATGTGTGTGCAGTTGGTACCAGACGGGCCGGCGTGTTGCCTTGGCGTGTCTGTTTGTGATGGCCGTGGGGTCCACCCTCGCCCTCTGCTTCGAGACCGACATTGAGAAGGTGGTCGATCCAAAAACAGGCAAGTTTCTCGGCACTAGGCACTGCGAATATGTGCCGCCGCCATACTAACAATCTCCTAACAAAGCAATGGGCACAGAGGGAGGGCTTGTGGGGTGGGCTGCGGGGTGGACGTTCGCTTGCCTTGTTAAAGTGAGGGAGGGAGGGAGGGAGCCTCGTGCCTGTGGACTCACTGTGTCAGTCAGTCAGTGTAGTGTTGTTGGGTGAGTTCATGATTTGGTGGTCAAGGTGATACGGAGTCGAGTGACTGACCTATTTCTTAGTCGTGTGTTGACAGACTGTTGCTGTCTTGAATCATGTCACAACAGTCCGAATCGTTCGGTACCTGGAGGTCGGAAAAATTCATTGCCTCAGCAACCCCCCCTCCCCCCTCCCCAGACAGCATCAAAATTCCATTCAAGCACTCCCAGCCATCCATCCATCCACTTTCTTTCAACTGATGTAAGCAAGATGTAGCAATCAATCAGTTGAAAGCCTAACTTCTCTCCCTCCCTCTCTCCCCGTCTCCCTCCCCTGCACCCCTTTTTCTGTACATACATTGAGTCGTCCAAATGGGACGGACGGACACACACATGAAAGGCAAGCACTGTCACAGCTCGGACGTCACTTACACAGGTTAGATCAATCATGTAGGTGGTCAGCCACCTACGCCAGTGTGGGGACTCGCGTGTCTCTTTTTGCGGCTGCGAGTACGATGTCGTCGGTCTCGAAGTCGTTCTTGAGCTTGCCCTCGCGCTGCTTGATCTGATCAAGCAATCAATCAATCCGTCGATGGAGGGATGGAGGGATGGACAAAGCACCAACCACAGTGAGGCAAACAATGAAGTGTCTGGTGTGCGCCAACAATGCCGTCAGACTGACCACGAAGTCGTTTTGGTACGAGTCCCTGAGGCCCTCGAGGTTGTCATAGTCGGGCAGCCAATCCAAATCACGGATGGCATTCTGACAGACGCCGACACAACAAGACACGACGCATCGCATCGCATCGCATCGCATCGCATCACACGGTGAGATGAGATGTATGCCATGCCTTGTGCGTGTGTGGCTCGCTGGGTGACACGACCGACACAGGTGCGGACCTCTATGGATGTGAAGAAGTGTTGTGGTCTGAATGGGAAAGCCTTCTTCTTGCCGAAGTCCAAGTCCTTGGGGTTGTAGTGCACCAACTCCACCCTTGACGGGTCCTTGCCCATCGCCGCGGCACACAGCCTGGCCACACCGTCGAACGTCACCGCCTCCAGACCCTGACCACACCACACATGCAGATTCCATCGATCGCTCTCTGCCTGCCGGGTCGGGTCGCGTGGCTCATGTGTTCGTTAAATGTGTCGTGATTGACTGACGCCAGCGTTGTAGGTCTTGCCGACGGCGTGTGGCCTGCCGAGGACGTTAGCGAATTGCCTGGCGAGGTCCCTGACGTGTCCGAGCCCGGTGAGGTGCTGTCCATGTCCGGGGATGCACACGGGCCGGTTCTGCGCCAGTCGCTCGAAGAAGTACTCCTCGACCGGGTTGTAGTTGAGTGGACCGTAGATGTAAGTCGGTCGGATGGATGTCCAGGGTGCGTTGATGGACCTGAGGTACTCCTCGCTGTCGAGCTTGCCCTTGTGGCGGCACTTGGGGTCCACGGCATCGCCCTCCCGGTGCGGCATCTCGTCGCTCTTGAGGTACACGCCCGCACTGCTCATGTACACGTAGTGCTTGAGGCGGTTGGGGAAGAGGTCCACGAGCATCTTGGTCTCATCCACCTCACGGCCATTCATGTCGAAGATGGCGTCGAACTGCATCGACGCCACCTGGCGCAGGTCGGCCAGGTTCTTGCGGTCGCCCGTGACAAACTTGGTGCTGCTCTTGCGCCGCTCGAACTCCGAGGCGCTCTCGCCCGGGATGGGCCGCAGGGCCGTCTTGCCACGGTTGAACACCGTCACGTCATGACCGCGGTCCAGCAGCTCACGCCACAGATAGAGGCCCGAGAAGCGGGAGCCGCCGATGAGCAGCACCTTCATCGGCTGGTCCGCCGCCATCCTCAGGGTTGCAGAGGGACGGTGCTTGGCTCTCAGGCGGTGCAGAGGGGAGCTGGAGAGCGGGGAGGGCGGCAGGAAAGCCAGGGATGAGCCACAGAGCCAATGGCCACAGAGGGCCATGGACCACAGCGCTGCCACCGACTTCATTTCACAGATCTGATACGGCAAAAGAACGATCAGATGAGAGAGAGGCTGAATGCGAAGCGAGGGAGCGGTTTTGGAGTGCGAAGCACTCTGGAGCTCGCAAAAGCTCGCCATTGGCCACACCCGAGAAGCGTCGTGCAAGAAGAGGCGTCTGTAGGCCTAGTGTGCGTCGAAAGCGGCGAGATGGGCGGTTCCCAGTCAGCGCCTGGAGGTGATTGAGGTGGACAGATCTGATGTGCTCTGCCCTCTCCATGTTTCTGCCGTATAATGTGTGCAGGTTTCCGCATCTTCAAAGTGTGCCGCCACAGCCCCGCAGGCACGCAGAGAAAGATAACACCTACCTCCCACCGACACACGGCGCAGTGCGTTTGTGCTTTGGGTGTGTGTGCAGAGCGCGCGGGTCTGGAGGTGTTTTTCGATTTCATCACTGAGGTGGACGGCTTGCAGATGGTCAGTAAGGGGCGATGAACGGCGGACATTGAATACTGTGTCTGCCTAAGCTCCATCGATGTGTGCAGGTGCCTGACCAGACGGTCTTCTTCAACAAAATCATGGTCAGTCAGTCAGGGAGTCAGTCAGTCAGGGAGTCAGTCAGCCAAGCAGCTCCAGTTCATTCGGCCACCACACGCCAACGACACGACACGGGGGAGGGGAGGGTGCGGTGTGCATATGTCGTTATCGGCACCTGTGGATCCATTCCCACTCATTCCCTGCAGGAGTCGGAGGGGAGGCAGATCAAACTCGCCGTCTACAACTGCAGATGCAGGAACGTCAGAGGTAGGCACACATACACACAGATGATAGACCCACATTCCATCCACGGTGCAATCACTGAATGTTCGTTTGTTTGTTTTTGTTTGTTGTTTGTGCACGTCACAGATGTGTATGTGATACCGAGCAAGTGGGGCGGCCAGGGGCTGCTGGGCGCGACGGTGCGGTACGACACGTTCGAGAACTGCGAGAACCAGGGGGTCAGGGTGCTCGACATTTTTCCACGATCGCCCGCTGCAGCGGCCGGCCTCGTCCCCTACAAGGACTGGCTGCTCGGAACATCAGACGTACGACACCTGACTGACTCACTGACTGACTCACTGACAGACAGACAGACAGATAGACAGACAGACAGGGACAGAGGGATGGACAGAGGGAGGGAGGGAGAAAAGCACGAAGAGATTCGTGTGGTGTGTGTATGGTTGATTGGTTGTGGGTTGATTGCAGGTGATGTTTAAGGATTTGGATGAGCTGGTTGAGACGGTCAACTACTACCTCAACAAGCCGGTGGCGGTGTACGTCTACAACAGCGATGTCGAGACCATCCGAGAGGTCATTCTCACCCCTAACCACAACTGGGGAGGGGACGGCAGGTACCCCATGGCACACGTCCCTACCTGCCGCACTCATCTTTGCTTCCTCTTTCTCTATCGTGGCCCAGCATTGGGTGTGACATCGGGACAGGTCTGCTGCACCGCATCCCGCCCCCCCGCAGCATGCCCGCACAGCCACAAACCCCGCAAATACAACAGCAGCAACAGCCGCAGCAACAGACGTACCCCACCCCACCACAGATGCAGCCACCACCACCACAACACCCCCACAAGGTAACCAAGGAACGGTCGCGCGCCACAAACGCACGGAGCAATGGACATGTGTTTGTTTGTGCGGTGTCTGTCTCGATTCTCTCTCGACCAGGTGCCGGAAGCCCCACCACCACAGCAGTATGTTGCCGCCAACGCAGCGGCAGGGCAGAATGCGCCACCACCGTATGCACAGCCAGGGGCCACCGAGTCCATGCAGCAGCAGCACCAGCAGCAGCAGCAGCATCCCCAGGCTGCGTACGGCTATCCCCCCCAGCAGCCATATGGTGCATACCAGCACCACCAGCACCACCAGCAGCAGCAGCAGGGGCCTCAGGTGGGTTACCAGGGTGGGTATGGGTATGCCCCTCAGCAACAGCAACAGCACCACCACCAGTATGGGCCACCCCCGCAACAGATGGGCTACCCACAACAGGCCGCTGGGGGGGCCACAGGTGAGTGAGTTAGTGTGTGAGTGCGTGTCGCACAACATACACGTCGACTTCTTACAAAGGTGTCTTTCCTTTTGGGTTCATGGCTCTGTTGGCAGATCTTCATGGTGGTGTCGGTGCCCAGGGTGCACCGCCGAGACCGTCCCCTCCACCAGCCGCCCAGCCACAGGAAGGTCCGCAGATGGCAGCGTATGCCTCCGCAAACACATCCACTGCACCGCCCCCCCAGCCGCCCCCTCCCCCGCCCCCTCCTCAGGCTGCCCCTACCGTCCCGTCGCAGACTAGTGACCTCAATGGAGTGCCCGCCAAGGCCAACGGGGTGCATGTGGACACGAGCAGCACCATATCCAGCAGCCCCAGTGAGGAGAAGAGGCAGCAGGGGTACGCCTACGCCGCAGGGGACGAGAGGGAGAGGGGCAATGCCAGGATGGACGTCCAGAAGGGGCCAATGATACACCACCACCAGCACCATTACATGTACCAGCCACAGGTGAGTGAGTGGGTAGGAGGGTGGGTGGGCTGAGGGCAGAACAACAGACAGACAACACCATATGGTCGGTGCATTCATACGTATATAGTATGGGTGTTGTGTTATATTGTGTTGCAATGCGTGCCCCAGGCGCCTGTCGCCCCGGTGCCTCCCGCGGCGGATCCGAAGCAGATATTCGGACAGCACCAACAGCACAACCTAGGTGAGGCGGATCTGCTAATCAATGACACGACAACACATACATACATACATACAGACAGATAGATAGACATAGACCAAACCGCCTGCGTCGTTCTGTGTTCACTCCCTTTCAGTGCCCAGTGACCTGTTTGGCCCGCCCAGTTCGTCGCAGTCACAGCACGACTCCTCATCCCTGTTCGGCCCCCAGCCACAGCCACACCCCACGCAGCAGCCACACCAGCAGCAGTTCAACCCTGCCACCATGCAGCATGAAGGTACCTACGCTCAAGTGTGAGCGAGTTACCATGACAACACAGGAGCACAAGTTAGTTCGGGCATCGATGCGTGTGACTGTTGGTGCGCAGGTGTTGTGGATGGTCCCCCGCGACCCGGCGTCATCTATCAGGCCACCGCCAATGCGTTCCAGTGATGTGATGTACCTGCAGCTGGCAGGAAGTTTAATTCGCCTGACCAGCGCACAGACAGGCAGCCAGACAGACAGACAGCAAGGGAGACAGACGCAGTGGCTAATTAATTCGACAAAACGAGTGGGTATCGTAAGCATGTTGCCCAGACGGTGAATGCAATGCACTGATGGAGGGCCATCCATCCATCCGTTGCGTTGCGTTGCATTGCATGTATGTGTGTGTGTGATGCGATGAGATGCCGGTCTCCCGAGCGAGTTCCTTGTGTCTGTCTCGGTCCATGGGCTGTGGTATGATGTCAGTCTCGTGTGTGCGTGAGGTGAGGGGTCTGGTGAGGGCACGTGTAGGGTGTCAGTCACACCAGGCAGTGCAGTGCAGCCACTAGTTAATGAATGGGTGCACCCACCGACTTGGCCGGGACACCCACCTGACCTCCCTGACGGATAGACAGTACATACAGTCACCAGGCCTCTCTCACACGACAGCGCAACACAAGCCAGACGGCTTCGTACTTGGTGGCATGCAGGGGACTCTTCCTACGGACACCTGCGGGGGCGTGTGCGTGTTGCAATGGTCAATGAATGGATGATTCACTCCGCCTGATTTGAGGGGTTGTCGATCGACACAGTTCATTGCATGAGAGACCGACTCTGCCTGCCGTTGCGCTATGAGTCAATGTACTTCCACATGATTCATTCCAACGATGCAATGAGTTCGACCGAATCCCTCCGGCTCCGCTCTGCAGCTCGCAGTCTGGAGGAAGCTTTTGGAACTCTCTGGGGCGTGATTGAGATGGCTGGGAGGCCTCAGCGTGTGGCTGCCCTCGAACACGACCTGCCAGAGGTAACTCAGGAAGAACAAAGTGGCGGGTGACAGCTGTGCAGCAAGAGCCGTTTCTTTGGCGTCGTGTGTGGTGTGCCTGTGTTACCTACAGCACCTGGTGTGTTTGTGGGATGAAATCCAGACACTCAAGTGGTCCGAGGTCATCTACCGCCTCACACAGGAGGGCCTCTTTGACGCCGCCCAGGCGCCCGTGGCTGTCCGGGACTTTTTGCTGTTCATGATGCTCGTACGTTTAGCAATGTGGGGCATTTCATTTGATCGCCGCTGTGTGCTGCTTTCTGACTGCTGTTGGGTGTGTGTTGATTGCGAACAGAAGGGCGAGGAGAATGACCGTCAGTGCCGTTTGTCGGTGCCTCCTCACATTGATCTCGTGTGGCACTCTGTGCTGGTCGATCCGGTGCTGTACATGTCGCTCTCGCGCATCGTCGGCATCGAACCCGTCATACCACAGTCCTACATGCCATCCCTCCATCCCGTGCAGTCAATCACTATGTATGCATGTGTGTATGTGTGCAGTGATCCGATGGGCGAGTACGATAGCCATGACGTCAAGGAGAGCAGACGCCGCGATGCACTGGGCAACTTCCTCCAGACATTTGGATATGACTACGACGGCGGGTGAGCACGGGGACACGGACAAAACAGACGACCGAAGAGCACTCACCACGTGTCTGTCTGTGTTCGGTTGGGTGTTGTCAGTCCGGAGCCGTCGCAGCTGCCTTTGCCTGGTTGGGAGCCGGCCCCCGAGAGCAGCCGCATCTCCACCGACGTACTACTCCCTCAAGAGCAACAGTACGCAGCAGACAGACAGACAGACAGACAGAGAGAGAGGCATAGAGGGATACGAACAATAAGGAGCGGGGCTGTTGTGTGTGGATGTGTGCAGCCTGAAGGACCGTGCCAAGTCATACATGGTCCTGTTCGTCAAGACACTCACCGGTCAACCACTGAATGCCACTGACTGACAAAAGTCTGTCCGCCATGGATGGATGGATGGATGGTTGTCGTGTGCAGGCAAGACCATCACCGTGGAGGCGTGTGCAGAGGCCACCATTGAGACGTTCAAGCAGGCCATCCAGCGGGGTGAAGGGATACCCGTCGACCAGCAGCGACTCATCTTCGCAGGCCGGTCAGTAAGTGACGACCGACCCAGGCAGACAACCTTACAACTGCACACACACGTGTCCGTCCATTCACCACACTCTGTGTGCGGCCCCCACCCACTGGTGTGTGTGTGTTGCAGGCAGCTGGAGGACGGCCGTATGTTGTCTGATTACAGCATTCAGAAAGAGTCGACCCTGCACCTCATCACCCGACTCGCGGGATGCTAATTCGTCCTCTTTCAGATACCTCCAGCCGCCATAGCCAGAGCCAGACGGACAGGGAGGGAAACACACAAGTACGTGGTGGTGTCGATGGCTGAGTGGAATCGATGGCATGGAACACAGTGGCGTTCGATGACATGTCATGCACGCGTCTATGTATGATATTCAACCAATGAGAGCCGAGCCTCGCTGGCAGTCTGTAGGCATGCATGGATTGCTGCTGGCCGGCGGGCCAGACGCACGCCTCCAAGTGAGACGGTGGGCGAGTGGGGTTTTTCCTCCAGGCATCCTGCGTGCCAAGGCAGACAGACAGACAGACAGACAGAATGGCTAATTCATTCCGACACAATCGCTGATTGAATTGAACACCGATCAATTCACTTGTTGAAAGGACGGTGTGAAGGATACCGTTCCAATCTGTGTGTGCTGATCCATCCATCCATCCATCCTTTGACCCGCCCCCATCATGATCAAGTGATGTCTCGTCATGTCGACCCGTCAGTCAGTCGCTCGCGTTTGGGAGCACACCAGTGACCGGGTCACACAGACAGACACAACACACCCACAACACAACACAACACGACACAAGACATCACACGTACATGAAGGCGAACCAGCGCACGCAATTTAAACACGTGCGTAAACACACACAGGGGGACGTCATTCCATCGACCCACACACACACACGCAGCCGTCATCACTGTGGGCCCATTCTGTCTGTCTTTGTGGCCAAATGGACAGCAAGACGATAAATGCGGCACACGGATGTGACTGAATGAATGAACGTATGAACGAATGATCGAGCAGCAAGGCAATCAGACACAGCATTACGTACGTACGCATGCTACGGGCCTTGCTGAAGCCCAAAACAACCCCCACGGCAAAAACTCACTACAGTCCAAATTATCACATATCAATGCAGAGACACACACACAGACACACACACACACAAAAAGGCACTCACTCACTTAGCCAAGTCATGAATGGAACGAACCACCAGCCGATGAGCCTTGGCCGGCTACCCACGCACCCACGCACCCAACAAACACGCATCCCTCTGTCAGTTCAGTCCTGCCAGGTTCCCTCCGCCAATCGAGCTGATGAAAAGGTCCTTCAACTTCTCCAGTGGGTCGTGTCGCTCTCTCTCTGCTGTCTGCAAGATGGCATCTGCATGCTGTCTCCTTTTCTCAGCTCGGTACAACGCCATCATGACGGCGTCTCGCATCTCGTCAGGGAACACGGGACTGACTGGGATGCTTCCTCTGTCAACCGGTATCAGTGACGGCACAAAGTCGGCATGGATCTTCAGGACTCCAAACCTGTCCACCAGCTCGTTCCTCTGCGTCGTCTGAATGAATCAACACCCACACTACCGCACAACGCGACATGCGAAGCCTTCCTCAAAGAAAGTGCCTGCCGTGAATCGCTCACCTGTCCTTCGAACGACTCGGGGTTTTGTGTCAATCTGAAGCTGTTTCCGTTGAGGTTGGCCTTCACCCACAAGTCGAGCTGCTCTTTCTTCGCCAGCAAGGGCTTCTGAACCACAAACCAATTCACGGCCTGACAAGCAGGTAAAGAGAAAGAGAGGGTGGCTGCACCAACCAAGTGAGGTGAAATCCGCTGCGATAGTTAGTGGCTTGCCTGCGTGCAGGGGGGCGTCGTCAGGCTGCCCGGGTAATGGAAGATCCTGGAATCCGCGGCAAATTGGCCGAGCTATTGAGAGTGAGAGGAAAGAGAGAGAGACAGAGAGACAGAGAGAAAGAAGAGCACTTCATTCGCGCTCCTTGCGCGTCTCCCTTTGTGTGTGTATCTGAAGAACTTTGCCTTCTGGTACATGGTACCTCGGAGAGGTCAGAGTCGACTGTATACATGACGTCTGGCTCGTCGGCTGAAGGGAGCCTGGGCTCGCCATCTGGGTTCTCTGCATATTCATCCAATAACATCCGTGTGCACACATCACATGGAAATCGTTCTGCATCCGAAAGTCCAAAGTGCTCACCGAGAGACGCGAGGAATCGATTTCTCGTCGGGCCTTCCGCGAACAGAAAACCAAGAACCGCAAACTCAGCTGCCAGTCAGTAGACACACAGAGAAGGATAGACCAAAGGCAGTAAAGCAGCAAAGCAGTCATTCGGTGGGCTACTCACGCAGGGTTTGATCATTGTCGGTTCGCACGTGCACTATGTGCATCTCCAGGGGGAACTGTTTGCCGTCGAACGTGTGTTCCGACCGGGAGTGGAAGTGAAAGCTGCACGGACCGACAAGGAACACGGAAGGCGCAATTAAGGCAGGCAGGCAGGCAGGTGTGCGTTCTGGCTTGGCTTGCTTACGACACGGCGACAAACTGCTTCCCTTGGTACTGCAGATACCCAAAGTCCTCTGTGCCGTCGGGATCCTTCAGCTCTCCGTCCACGAATATCTCGTTCCTGTTCACACACACAGACACACAAAGTGCATTTCCGTGTACGTACACGACGAGAGGGCAGCAGACTGACCAGAAGATGGTGATTTCCTCCTCAAGTGGCGGGTAGAAAAAGCTGACCACCGACGAGCCATGCTTCACCTGTCCCAACGGATGTCGATCTCCCCACTAGCTAACGACGGAAGAAACCCTAAAGGTGCACATTTAGGGTTTCCTTTTCGGCCTCATGGCGATGTCAAGCGCCCGCTGGTGGTTCGAAAGGTGCGCTTCTCGAGTCGCGCGGCACAGTATCTCGCGAGCATAGTGCAATTCGATCAAGATCTGGGCCAATGGGACATTCAAACCCTAAACCCTGAACCCCAACCGAGCGGCTTCAGGCTTCTGTTGCAGAACCTATAAAGACGTGCGCCGAGGTGGCGTTGTCAACCTTATTACTTTGCCCGCTCCAGCTTGAGCTCCTCGGGATCCACGGCCGCCGAAGGCGGCCGGCACAATACTAGTTGGTTGGTTGGTTAAGGGTTTGACGAGACACCTGTCCCTAAGCCCGGCGCTACCTTCCGGCGCAACCAGGCATCTTCTCTGTCCACAGCACACACCAAACAGGCAACAGGCACATGCAGAATGCATGCACAAGGCCTATCTGCCCTTCCCATGGAGCAGTGGGTGCTAGTCTGACAAGTCAGCGTCAAGCACCCACTGCTCCATCTCATGCAACTCATATATGAAGTCATACTCACCATCAAACT